AGCTGCTACCTCAGCCTTCGTTAGCTTCTACAGTGTGATAGCCCGGATTTACAACACGGGGATGAATATCCAGGGTCCTCATAAAGAATCACTCTTCGTGTAACCAGCTTTCTCAAAGTGGTACCTCCTTATTTCGCTGTACATCTAGTCAAGTTTAGTACTTAAACTCAACTGTCTGCGCCTACTTTTAACAATATTCCAGCTGTTTTCACATTTCTGTTGTTCATAATCTGTGCCTTTCTTAACTACATCCAACAATAATTCATTGAAAGAATTCATGCGGTCCAAGACTAATCATCGGATATTATACATTGCGAAAAGTAACTAACTTGGCTTGCTTTCCTGAGAAATTCGCGATCGTAGCTAGTTAGATCGAGACTCCTTGGGATGAATTCTGGCAATGCGTATATTTCCTTTAGTTCGGACTGTGTTAAGAACCTGCTCATCAGGCGTGGTCTTTCGTTATTTTTTGAATCCTTAAATTGATAACGTTTTGAAAATTCAAAGTACAACAGCAAATTTGATTGTTTCTCCAATGCTCATTGAAAGTGGGAACCATCGAAAGTCGAATATTAAGTTTTGCTGGCTATTTATGAGGAACTTTACTATGAGTGCTACAGCAGGGGAAAAAATAGTAGAAGGGAGGCATAACTATTACAAAGCACATACTAAATGGACAAGTGAAGAAGCAGTCGGTGTTTCATCCCTTAGCTGTAAGCATAGAAAGAGCTCTTCGTCTGGATAAGAGCAGGAATCATCAGCTGCAGCCTTATACCCGCCATGTATTAAGACAAGAATAAATATAAGGCAGGAGCACTTACTGTCAGCGAAATAAGGTTTTAAGTATGAGTTCAGAAATGACTACCTCTGAGTGGGAATTTGGACAGCATAACCGACTTACCAGGAAATCTTGCGCTTCCTCCGGAAGAAAAACTGGTTTTTTGAAAAAACCCTCAAGCATCAACGACGTGTAGAACATGTAAAAAATGACGATGAGTGACGCAAATACAACAAACACGGGCAAGAAGACAGACACGAAATACCAAATCTGAAATTTTGTTATCCACGATATTCCAGTTATCACGTGAAAAAAAAAAAACAGAACAGAAAAAACCTCATTCTAATCCATGTTTTTGAACTCAAAAAACAAGCACCTTGTGGTATTTGGACTTTGAGTGTTCAAGAAATTTTGTTCGTTTTAAATTCGAAACCTGTGGACGGTCTTTTGGCGGGCCGGGAAATTCGTGTAAAGAGCTGAAGTAGATTTGTGCGTCTTTCAACAAAATGGACAGCAACTCCAAGATGACCAACCGTGCTACTGCTAGACACATCAATCATGATTCGACCGCTTGAAGTACCATGCAAATGAAAAAAATGGAAATTTCTCTTGCAACTTTCATATGATTCTTTCGCTGAATTTTTGATTAAACTAGGAATTCAGTGTGTGAGTTTGGTAACGATACAACTGACTTCGTCGCCTTCCCACTGTTCTTTCTTCTCCCCAGACAAAAGGAGGGAAAATTGCATGAATAAAAAATAAACAAATAAAATGTTTAAAATTAATAAATACAATAAACAAAGAGAAGGTGAAAGCCAGAAAATGAGGGGGAAAGGAACTATATTTATCAGAAGTAGGTGTAATTAAAACTGGGTTTTTTCATCCCAAGGCTGCGTGTACCTCTTCCGATTCAGGACTGTTTGTGAGGTGCACAGCCACCTGGATAAGGAAAAAATCCAAAAAAAAGCCAAAAATCATTTAACAAGAGTGAAATTAGCTTAAAAGTTATGTTGTAAATCGTAACAACAAAAAAAAAATTACGAAAATTAAATCACAAAAGTACCAAAAAAAATCATAAAAACACCCATCAGTGGTACCCACGTGAAAAAGCCCGAACATCTGGAGGTCTTGCAAGAAAATGGAATAAGCGGAAGGTACAGGTGGAAAACACCTTGGAAGCATAAAGTGATCTTGGTGATTATGTGTTTTTGTATCTTTATGCAAATGCACAAATGCACACTGTCTAAGGATTGTCAATGCGCATGTGTTTGTATGTGTATATGTATATGTGTGTATGTGTGTGTGTGTGTGTGCATATGTGTGCAGGTATTTTTGTATATATTTGTTTATGTATTTATTTATACATGTGTTTATTCATGTATGTATGTGTGTATTTATGTATGTATGTATGTATGTATGTATGTATGTATGTATGTATGTATGTATGTATGTATGTTGTGTATGTATGTATGTATGTATGTATGTATGTATGTATGTATGTATGTATGTATGTATGTTTGTTATGCACGTATGTATATCTATGTATGTATATATGCATGTATATATGTATGTATGTATGTGTGTATGTATGTATGTGTGTATATGTTCGAATTTGTTGTTATATTCAACTCAGCAACCTTATAGGCTAGGAAATTTCACAAGGATGTTTCCTCGCCTATGTGCCACCATTCACAAAGCTTAAAATCAACGTCCACATACAGCTCCTGCGTCATGATAATTCAAATTCTGCAATTTCCAAAAACAGCGATTTTCAAAAAATCGCCAAGCGAGTGCTTTTTGCGGATTTCTCAGGAAGCCATGTGTCCACTTTCCTCTCATTGTCTGGCACCCTACTCCATTCCGTTCTTCTTTCATGTGCCCTTTTTTTTCGCGCTGTATCGGAAGTTATTTTTACGGAGATGATTTTACGTGGTGTTTTACGTAAGCTTTAAGGGGTGGGGGTGGTTTTTTGGTTGTTTTCGGTGTTTTTTTGAAGTTTGTCCTGCTTTTTTTCCAGGGAACTTGCTTTGAATAAACCTTTCAATGCAAAAAGTCTCCACTGACCATCCTTTTGACCTCCAGGACGTCTAGTAGCACAACTTGCTTCGTTGATTACTACGGCATGGCCCTCCCCCTCCTCTTCCCTTCCTTTCCTCCTTCCTTCCTCCCTCTCCCCCAACCCTCCTCCCCGTCCTTGTTCCTTTCTTGCTGGAGCACTTCCACCCTTGCAACCCTTGGATTTGCTCGATGTTTTGGCAATGCTGAGATGTCCTAAGTTTTTTTCCCTAAGACCTTTTGGGGGCAGAACACACCGTAGCATCCATGTTTCATTCCACGTAAGTGGGAAGTTGCTACTGCGGCGCACAACGCTTCTGCCCCT